TAGAGTTAGAGAGAGATCTTCCATCTGCTGGCTCGTTCCCCCAGTGACTGCTGAAGCCAACAGCTGGAAACTCCATCCTGGTCTCACACATGGGTGGCAGGTGCTCAAGTACTTGGGCCATCTTCTGCTGCCTTCCCATGCACATTCTCAGGAAGCTGAATAGGAAGAGGAACAGGGACTCAAACTGGCACACTGATAGGGGATTCTGGCATTGCAAGCAGTGGCTTCATCCCCTGCACCACAATGCCAGCCCATTCTTTTGTCTCTAACAAGCAACCTTGAAATGACAGCTTAATATGAATTATAAAAATGTTATGACAAAAACCAAATATATAAGAAACCTTAATAAAGCACTTCACATTTGTGCTCCATTCTTCTCTACATTTTCAATTTTTGTTATTACATTTGACCCAGTTCCATATTGTTTGTTTCTGAATACTTTAGTGTATTATTTTTTAGCCTTCACAGTAAAGATACACATGATTTGCACACACCATGTTTACAGTATTCCAGCATACTGAATTTATTTACATACTCATTCTTACCAGTGAGCCTTCTTAATTTCAGTTTGAAGAACTTCCTTTAACACTTCCTCTAACACAGGTCTGGCGGTGATGAATGTTCTCAGCTGTTGATGTGCTTCTCTCCCTATGTGAAAGACAGCTCTGCTGGATGTGGTATTCTTGGCTGGAGATGTTTTCTTGTCTCATCTCACTCCCTCCTGGTCTGTAAGGTTTCTGCTGAGAAGTCTGCAGTCCAGGGAACTGGGACCCCTTTATAGGTTACTTGCATCTTTTCTCTTGCAGTTTTGAATATCCTCTATTAACTTCAGAGAGCTTCACTGTAACATGTCTTGCAGTAGAATTGGTTGGGCTGAATCTGACTGGAGACATTTGACCTTCCTGTACATGAACAGTTATATCTTTCCCTAGGTTTGAGAAGTTTTCTGTCAGTATACCTCTGAATATGTTTTCTACGTTTTTGAAATTCTCAAGCTCTTGGATCCCCATAATTCAAATATTTACTCTTTTCATGCTATCCCATAATTCCTGTAAACCTTCTCCATTCCTCTTGATTCTTTTTTCTCCTCCAACTGCGTGTCTTCCAGCTCATTGATTCTTCTGTTTGATTTATTCTGCTACAGATGCTCTCTACTGCATTTTAAATTTTACCTAGTATATTTTTCAGTTGAAGGATTTCTTGAGCAAGTCTTAGAATATTGAATCATTTCTCTGTATTCTATTGAATTTTGTTGAGCTTCTTCAAAAGAGCTATTTGGAAGTCTTCATTCAAGCATTTGGAAATTTCAATTCCTAGAAGGTTGGTTTCTGGCACCTTATTTTGATCTTTAGGCGAGGTCATGGCACCCTGGGAGTTTCTAATGCTTGTCACAGGACAACCTCGTTTGTGGCTGTCCATATAAGTCCACGCAGTCTGCTGCTGATGTGAGCTATGTTCTGCTGCAGGGGTGGACTCACTACTCCAAGATCCTCCTATCAGCCACTGGGGATGCTGGCTTGGGTACAGACGTGCTCAGCCAGACTACAAAACTTCACCGGGCATTGAAGCAGGACCAGAGGCTCTACCTGCAGGCACTGGCCTGGGAACAGGGGTCATTAGAATATGCCTAATGGTGAGTTTTATCAGCCTGGCACCGAGTTCCAAAATAGTTCTGTGACTCCTTGCTGTCTGCCCAAGGTAGTAGGAGAGGTGAAAATGCAGCTCCTCAGCTCCTCAGAAAGGCCCTAGTTGGGTGATCCCTGGGTCTTGGTTATCAGGTCCTGTGCAATCTTGAGGTTGCACAACACATCTGTGAGAGGCTGATGGTGTTACATACTACAAGTCTGTTATCTAGGGCACAGATCTCTGCCTGATGTTGGGACAAGTCTAGAGATGGTGCACTGGTACTGGCCTATAGATGGAAACGGTTAGGATGTGCCCAGTGTTGGGCTTCACCAGTTCAGCACTGATTTCAAAGACAGTCCCTTGGTCTCCTGCTGTCCATTCAAGGTTGGAGGAGGGTAGTAAAGACAACCACTTGGCCACTCAGATTAGCCCTGGGCTGGTCACATCTGGCTCCCACAGTCCTTGGGCCCCACAAAGCTTTGGGGTTGCCCATCAGTTCCACCTGAGGCTGGTAATGGCAGAAGTCAAAATGAGTCTGATCCACTGGAGTGCAGGTGCCTTCTGGATGCTGGGCAAATCTAGAGACTCAGTCTGTGAGCACCTGCTGGGTGGTGGAGTCCTTTGGGCTTTATCAGGTGTTGGGTATCTGTGCATCAAGCCTGGCTCTGAACTCTGAGGCATGGTCCTGAGCTCCATCTCCTGGTCCCCTCATGTGGCTGGAGCATATTTTTCTAACAGTGGTTTGGGGAGGTGGAAGTTTGACTGTGGAAGCTCCAAATATTCACTTCCCAGGTAAGGGGCTGGTTCTGATTGAATTTTCCCCCAGCGGGCCTGGCACTGGGATTTAGTTTGTTCTCCCTCTCCTAAGCAAGAGGTGTCTCCCATTCTACATCCTTGGAGCACAGGAGGGTGACACAGGACACTCTTTCTTTCTTGATTTCTTCAACGTAACTACTTATTACACGATGAGGCAGTTGTCTCTCACCTGGTATCCATAGCTCTTGTGACGGTGACTTGGTCTGAGTGCAGCTGTTCACGCTGGTGCCTCTGTGTGGAGTGGTCACCAGTGCTTCTCATTCTGCTGCCATCTTGGCTCTGCCAATCAGATTTAAAACATTTCAACTTATATAATATTGATAAGCTATCCTATCCACAAATTTGTAATTTTATTATCTAAAAATTCATTTATAGCACTTCATGTCAAAATCAATCTACTTCACAAACAAAAATAAAAAAAACCCAACCTATTATAGAAATAAGAGCTGAGGCAATTGGCATTTATGATATCCAATATTCAATAATACTCATTTTTCAGGTTGGAAAGAGAATACCAGTTAACGGTCTATCCCAATAAACCTACACTTCTGAGTGTCATCCTAAGACCTGTTTTGTCCTGTTCTTGGCTCCTCCAAGTACACATCCTTACCTCTTTTCTTCCATGTAGCTAGTCTATTATGTATTACCTCTGACAACATCCAACATGTAACTAGGTTTTCCTAAGACTGTAAGACACTTACAGGTGATTATTCATCTTACCCAGCTGTGGAGTTTCTGCAGTCATCTGCACCAGGAAGCCTGTGGTATCTTCCCTTGGTTACAGAACTCTTTGTAGATGGATAATCACATGCATCAAGAAATGGGTCTCTTCCCTAGGCATGAAGTATGTATTTAACAATCTAAGTAGTTTGCATTAGGGTGGGCCTTTGACTTGACTTTGACCAATGAGACTGAGAGTCTTTATGTGGAGTGTCTAATAGCAGACGCTAGGAGAGATTTTTGTGTGTGTGTGTGTGTGTGTGTGATAAAAAGCAATAAGGACTGCCTTTACTATCCTGCTTGTGATGTGTAAGTGTCTATTTGAACTGTGGAAGCCATATTGTGACCTTGAGGTAATAGACCCACAAAAGCAAGGCTGACAATGGTGGAACAGAAACAAAGAAAACCATAAACTGGTCCTTATGAACAATAAGCTTCTGAATGAGCCCTTGAACCTCCTATATCCAAAATTCCTATCAAGATAAAATTAAGGGCTGGCGCTGTGGCTCACTAGGCTAATCCTCCGCCTGTGGTGCCGGCACCCTGGGTTCTAGTCCTGGTTGGGGCACTGGATCCTGTCCCGGTTGCTCCTCTTCCAGTCCAGCTCTCTGCTGTGGCCCGGGAAGGCAGTGGAGGATGGCCCAAGTGCTTGGGCCCTGCACACGCATGGGAGACCAGGAGGAAGCACCTGGCTCCTGGCTTCGGATTGGCGCAGTGTGCCAGCCGTAGCGGCCACTTGGGGGGTGAACCAACGGAATGAAGACCTTTCTCTCTCTCTCTCTCTCTCTCTGTCTAAATCTGCCTGTCAAAAAAAATTTAAAAAAAAGATAAAATTAAGCGTTCTTATGGTTTAAGTCAGTGTCAGGTTTTCCACTACTTGCAACCAAAAACATTTCAGGCGTTCTGCAGTACGTTCCCCACCCCCCACTTCTCCCTTGCATGAGGAACCATCAAAGTAACCTCCAGGTAGTTTCTTTTATCTTGAGTGGTCACTGATAGTATTTCTTGGTTTCATTTTACGTAAGTGCTCTGGAATTTTGGTTTGCAGGCTCAGCCTGTGTGAGTCTTCCTGCTCTTTGACTTCTTCCTTCCCAATCTGCACTCTCTTCTTTCTTTGCTCTTGTAACTGCTTCTACCAATTGTCCAAAATCAGGGCTCTAGTCCTGTGGTGATGGCAGGGCTATCACAGATCAAAAACTATCTGAACACACAGATGAGCAGGGACATGCCCACAGTATAAGTTACAATGCCAGGCACTATCTGCTGCTGTTTCTCAGTATCAAGAGTGAGGAAATCTATCCCAGACACTGGTTTCATTCCTTCGCAAGAGCTGATATTTCTGGCTGTTTCTGCCTGCTTCCTGGACTCGCATCCTAGGTTCTGGCTTCAGTTCAATATAGTTAGCATTCTGTATTTCTAGTTAATGGAAATATTTATATTGGTTTTGAACAAAGCTGTGCGTTCACATTGTCCCCCTTTCTATTATTTTTCTGTTCAAAATCCAGGGATACCTCTATGTAGGCACTCCATAGGCTAACATTTTAAAGCTCACCTTATGTGAAAGAACAAAAGAGAAGGTACCCCCTTTTTTTTAAAGACAACATAAAGCTCTATGCCATGTACCATTCATTGGCAACAGATATCAAGTGAACAGCAGGGTTCCAATGCATGAAATATTTGTGTATTTGTTGGGATCACTGGCAGAGCACCATTCTGCCTTGTGCTGATTTTTATCCACTTCCTCAAACGTTATGAGATCACACAACAGCATTGGGTCTATCTAGAAAACAACACATTGTCTAAATAAAATACATCCCACAAATCACCTTAAGATCCAGTCAGTTTAATATAAAATGTTTTTAATTGTTTTTGAAAACATTTAAAAAACAATTTTTGAGCACTTTCAATAAAAAAAGAGAACTGAAATGCTACCGCGATATTCAACTACTGTAGTTTCAGCAGGTACAACAGACAACAGAACACTGGGGGAAGTCTGACTTTTTTGCACTAAATGAAAACATGAAACAGGGCTTGTTTTTGTCATTTATGATGTAGTAAAGCACATTGTAGTACAAGACTATTATTTGAACCTCAGATGCACTGCACAAAAAACACTTTCCTTCTTTTCAGTTCAAAAGTCAGTGCTTATTGCAATTATATGCAAAATTATTTACTTCATGAAGTCTTATCATGATAAACAGTATGCAAAATGTTTTAAACATCAAAACAATGAAAATAATCTCAGAAAAGAACATATTCAACAATAACTAAGCAGAATTAGTAAACATAAAAAAGTAAATAACTTGTGAATAACTATGCTTGCCTGGTTAACAGTGAACCAGTTTCAATACAGCCAAGAAAAAAAAAGTGGTTACAGGAATACCTAGTACTGTACAAGATAAGTCAATAACACTCATGCACATTTTGTGATCATGTATTAACATGGTGAAGCAAACTAAACTTAATTCTTCCTGCTGTAATATTCTCATGTAAGAGAATAAGAAATAGAAATATCTCATTGAGATCAATGCACATTGCTACATAAGACAATTTTATCTGTCACTTTGATGACATTTTGTCTTTTCATAATGAAACACATTTAAAAAGTTTAATCTGTGGACTGTATTGGTTGCATTTATCCTAAGAGATGTGCCTACCACAGGTTCAACAAATTTAGTGCAATATAGAACCCCAGAAAGTTTGCTGGACGAATTCAATCAAATTTAAAGAGTTTGCTGCGATACTGTACAGGGGGTTAAAAATCCTCCAGTCTTAGTATTTTTATCAAAAAAGATTTCCATTATTTTTATATTAGTAGGAAGCTAATAATGTAAACAAGGGATTAGAATGGCCTCAAAATCTCCTTTTCAGAGTATCTCATATAGAAAGGCTCCCATCATTTGTTAAAAGAAATCACACAGTTTCCTTTGGGTATTGCATACTTTGGTGTGCAGTAGTGCTGTGTCTCAATGTACAGTGAAGAAATACTAGCATCAAGGAAAAAAAATCTAACAGATCATTAAATCAAGATAACAGCAAACACACACAAATGCCAATAACTAGGACATACCAATATATAAACCTCTGAGCCAATGCTAGCACCAGTTATTTATCAAAATATGTTAATACCCTAGCTTGCAAATTTATTGAACAATGAAAACTTATTAAATTAAACCTTTCATCACATTTGTTAAATATTCATTGATTGTAGTTTTCTGATTGGCTTTCTAATGAAGGTCAAAAATAAAAAGCCTAGCTAGGTTCAAGGTAGCAAAGCAAACGGGTTAATGTTAGCTTTAAAAACTTACTGGCAATTAAAAAACCTCTTTGAAAGTTATCTTGAAACACACTTAAATGGAGCTGTCAACTAGTGAGCAGATTTGTGTCAATGTGAAATTCATAAATATTATCCATAAAACAAAATGGGAGCCATAGAGAGAAACATTTTAAAACAAATCCTGAGTGCTTTGCTTCTTTTGCAATTGTGGTTATCACAATAAATAAATTAAGCATGTAATAAAATGCTCCTCTTCTTCAAGTACTACTGATATCCCCTTTGTTTTATCAGATATATAAAGATATGTGGCTTCAGACCTTAGGTGGTAAAACGTTTCTCATTCAGTTTGTTATCTCCTTGCTTATTTGTTTTTCAAATGGATCCCATGATCAAACTGCATTCCTATATTCAGCAGGAGTGAAGGAGTCAGTCACTAAATGGAGGAGGAAAAAACTGGTTACTAAAGAATATTTATAATGAAAAACCTCAAAATAAATCTTAAATAGAATTTTAATATGTACATTCAACCATTTTGTTGAAATTAAAATGTTTTTCCTTCTAAGATCCCTATCTCAACTAGTAAATAATAAAATATGAAACATTTTTCTAACATACTTGTATTTATTCCATTAAATTACATTCTAGAGTTAATAATGACTTGTGTGTGTGCATGTGTGTGTGTATGTGTGTGCCTGTGCATCTCTGTTTGCTAGCTCCATACTAAAATCAACATTTTAAAATAAGACTAATGCAAGGTCACAAGTATAAATGGCTACTAGTTTTTCCTCTTAAAAATTTTAGTGCAGCTTTTGCTTTCCTTAATACTTAATTTTCCATTTTCTCTCCTAGTTAAGCCCTTCATTGTGGGTATAAATGGTACTGAAGCCTCAGAAAGTCCTACAGAGATTCTCCATCCTACAGTAGCTCTATGCTTCAAGCCTAAATATTTATAATAACCTGAATATTATCCCTGTGTCAAGGAAGACCTTCTCGTCTACAGTTCATCTTCGCTATGATTTCTTATCTAAAAGATAATGCCAACAACAAAATAGCTATACCTAAAACTGATGGTTTCTTCAGAATCCTGTGTAGATTAACTGATGAATTAAAATGAACTTATACAAAATAAAGATCTAGACTGCTCTTGTAAAAGCTGGCTAGTCAATTCTTTACTAGCAAACAATGTGATTAAATGGGGAACATTATAAAATTTAAAAACCTAATACTTGCTCTTCTACAGCCTACTGTCTTCAGAAACTTGTTAAGAACTGAGGCAAGTCTAACCATTTCCTACTGAAGAAGAAACCACTTCTGCAGCAAACGCTTTTAAAATGTCACAATTAATAGTAAGTGTTTCTGCTGCGGGAGGCACTTCCATTAAGACAAATACAATACATATGTCTTTAGATACAGTGTGCTACATATTATAAAACACAATTTAACCCAACATTTCAACAGTAGGATGGTCCTTGCTTTCTATCCACTCAAAACCTGATGAAGTCATGGAGTTCATGGATTCACTGCAGATTTGTTGAAATAATGGGTCGTTCTTTAATTCTTCCAGTGTAGCTTCATCATCTTGTCCCTGCTGACGACCTGGATCAAACAGTAGATTTGGGTCTAAAGTGTTCAAATCATTGATGCTGCCTGAGAGCTCAGAAGACAACCTAATGTCACTAGAGAAATCAGAGGCAGCGTTAGTGAGATCAGACGCCACCTGACCCACCAGCTGCTGGTTGCTTTGCAAGCTGTCTCCACTCAGCAGGTCTTTAACAGTGCTAGTGAAATCTAATTGTTGCTCTCCAATTTCAGATTGTGCTTGATTATCTCCAGGAGAAAAACTGATCTGATCGGTGCTATCACTTTTGGTGAGGTAAGATGGTGTTTGAAATTCATAAACAGAAGTGCTGGAGTCGATCATATTCTGTGGATTGGCACTAGGAAAAACAGTGGAAGTTTCCAGGATCTGAGTGAGATTCATCCTCGCCGTGTAATTGGAGGGCAGATTGTTCATTCCCAAACCTCTCACTGCATCATCATTGTCAGAATCAAGTTTACTCAACAACACATTGGTTATTTTTTTACTGTTTGTTTGCTTCTGAAGAGCATTTGGGAAAGCTGTCTGCATCATGACTGTTAATGGAACTGACTGACTTCTTTGAGCTATGTTGTTGGCACATGTGTCTGCGTGAACATTTGTGAAAACGTTAACTTCGGGGGTTACCGGACTTCCAAAGGGGGTCACATTGGACCGTGGGATATTAGACACTGGGTAGAGGGTGCTTCCACTAAGATTACGTTGGCGATGGACAGCGGGGCTCACACTCCGGCACCTGAAGTTGCTGCTGGCGGATGAATTAGTTCCTTTATTATCAAGAGGGGCAGGGACGGCAAAACCCTCCTGTTTGTTGGTGTTATTTACAGTGGCACCTTGATGCTGCACAGGAGAGACAGGAGTCAAACGACCAAAATGAGTGTCATGGTGTCGGGACTGAGACTGGTAAGACTGCCCAGGCACAGCAAAAGCATGAGGTTTCCTGAAACGGTCTTCCACGAGTTCCTGATAGCTTGGGAGAATGCCATGGCCAGAAACTGATGAATTACCAACCCCACTATACCCATTATTCATCCATTCAAGCTTGGTTTTGTCAGGGTGTGTGGCCATGGGTCTTTGCATTGGTTTCACAGGACTACTTGAGACAATGCTGGCATCATGATAGGCCATACTGGAGCTTATTGGGGTGAATGCAAATGGATTCCTGCATTCAACAGGGCTGGGAGGGACGCTACTGCTGCAGTTAGAATGTGGAGTACCAATGGGTGTGTGTCGGCTACTTCCTAAAGCACTATCCACAGGTGTCGTCTGGGCTAGCCTGGAGCAAGGGCTCTCCCGAGACAGACTCTGAGATCCAGCAATCATTTCGGATGTGGGAGTTGGGGTTGGGGTTGGGGTTGGGGTTGGTGTAGGAGTGGGTGTGGGTGTGTGGATTGGTGTGCCGTTGCTATGGATTGAATGATAGAAGTGGGTGCTAGAGGTATGAGATGACATGGGAGCTCCTGGAGTTACTGACTGGTTCTGAAGGGTCATTCCCAAACAGTTACCATAAGAATGCGAATTGTTCATTGACATTTGCTGCTCCATAAGCACCAGCTCTTCCACAATACTATCTTGTGTAAGTTCATCATCAAAAGGAAAGTAGCTCTCATTTGTCTGGGAAACAGAAGGCTCGAACTCCTTCAGTTCGGACTGAAGAGGTAACTGATCTGAAGAATGTGCTTGTATTTGATTCAAAGAAGATTCTTGCATCTGGGTGTGTAGCTGCTGGCTGTATGTGTCCTGTGGAATTCCTTCTAACTCCCAAACGGACTTCTCTAAGTCATTGATATCAGAGTGCTCAGGAATTGTCATAACACTGATATCTTGCTGTTGCTCACAGCTGGCAGATATGAACTCAGAATCCTTAGTGACCTGTTGCCACTCATTTGGATTAAAGCTGCCATCTGGTTTAGAATCTGTGTCCAAGAGAAAGACACTCCTTTCAAGTTTTACTTTTATGTCTGGAGATGATGATGGTGTTGTCTGCTGTTCCAAAGCTGAATCACTGATAATAAGGGCAGAAGAATTCAAGGGTTGATTTTCCACTATGTGTGAATTGACAGTTATTGATACTTTGCTAGGAATCTGAGCACCTGCTGTTGAACTTTCTGTTTTCCCTGAATGTGGAACCTTTTGGTCCTTCTTAACACTGCCTGGTTTCTGACCTTCTATGACAACTGCAGAAAGCTGTTCCACAATTGGTTTCTTTACAGGAGGCACCTGGGACTCTTGTAATGTAGAAGACAGTCGTTTCCGTGGACTTTTAGTGCATAATTTAGGGTCTTTATTTATTGAGTCACCATTAGATGGTGAGCTGGTGCTGGTGAAAGTTAAGTTCTGAGTGGTAACTGGGAGAGTGACAGTGCTTTGATTATTGCCTGTTGAAGTGCCTGGCAGAATCTCATTACAGCGACTTTTACATTTGGTCCTCTGGTCACAGACCTTAGTTGCTTTGATGTCCACGGGGCCTTCACTGGAAGGTTTTTGCGCTGCTCCCTCTGTATTACTTTTCTGCCCTGTAAGGGCACTAGGTGTTGCTTGGGGAGCCCTAGCCCCGTCGGAGTTCTCTTGGCACTGCACAGGATGCTCATCTGCTGATGTTTCGGGTTCCATTTTGACTTCCACAGTGGAAGTTCCCCCAGTGCTGCTGGTCCTAGAGCCCGGAGACTGAAGAGAAACAACAGAACCGCTCTTGATCTGTGGGACGCTCCTGGAGTCTTCAGTCGTTCCTGTAGCACTGTTGACTGAGGCAGAATGTTTAAGAGGGGCATTACTGTTGCTGGGCGTGAGGGATATTGTTGTCATTTTCACCACATTTAGAGAACTCATGTGTGAAGCGGGCACAACAGCAGTCTTGATGGGGCTACTGGTAAAGAGGACAGTGGTTGGAGAGCGGATGGTGAGCGCACTGGTGTTGGCTGGTTTGGGTAAAATCTGAGGATAGCGGTGCCGGGCAGAACGATCCCCCCCAGGACTGGCTGGAACGTTCTGCGGAGTCTTTGGTGCCTGCTTCACAGACTGCATGTGCTGAGTGACCACCTGCACGTTGAGGGGAAGAACTTTGCCATCAGATGAACTCACTGGACTCGGTGAAGTTACCAACTGCCTGGTCCGCTGGACCTGTCAAAAGAGGGAAAACAAAAAACACCAGACTAAACAAGTGTAGGACATACACAGTAGCTTGTTTGTCTCTGTGATAGTGAGGCATTTATTAAATGTTACTGTTAAAGAGAAAAATAAAGACGATTCCTATGTTGGAAGAGTTATTCTAGAGGAGGTTCTATATAACCAGATAGATATTTTAATAAATGCAACCATGATACAATGTGGTACAAAATACAGTAACACATGAGAACATCATTAGATGCTTTTCTGTAAATGAGACTAAAAACTTTATACCTGGGATGAACACTTACTGAAATGATTTAAGGAAGTTATAGGAAAAGATCTTAAAGAAGCTATGTCAAGAAGATGGCTCGAAGGAGATACTGTCATATCAGATACTATCATATCAGCCCCCCCTCCTTGGGGGCTGGTGTTGTGGTGCAGCAGGTTAATCCGCCACCTGTAGTGCTGGCATCACATGAGGACCAGTTCAAGTTCTGGCTGCTCCACTTCCACTCCAGCTCTCTGCTAATGTGCCTGGAAAAGCAGCAGCAGATGGTTCAAGTGCCTGAGCCCCTGCCACCCTCTGTGAGAGACCTGAATGGAGTTCCTGGTTTCTGGCTTTGGCCCGGCCCAGCCCCAGCCACGGCAGTCTTTTGGGAGTGCATTAACAGATGAAGATCTCTTTTTCTCTGTGTCTTTCTCTCTCTCTCTGTAACTTTGTCTTTCAAATCAATCAATCTTTAAAAAAAAAAAAAAACACAATTCTTCTACCTTGGACTTTAGTAACTAAACCTTTGAAAAAGGTCCTGAACTGTCTACCCAAGTTTGCTCTACAGTGAACAGAGTGGTTCCTAGTATTCATGTTTTAATGATTTGAGTGATATGAGAATGATAAGAACAAGAAACACAAGATGAAATATCTCCTTAATAATATTCTCAATATTACCATACAGTACTTTATTTCAGCATGATGCACTCTCATTTAAAAGTCCTTCATTATATCCTCAGCTGTGAGATAGGAAACTATTACAGATAAGGAAATAAACTTGGAGTCACAAAGGGACTTGTCCAAGTTCCTATTCCTATATCTAGCATGTCACAGAGAGAGCCTATGTTAAAGTATTATAAATACATATCACAATTCTGTCCCATCTGAATGTTAAAAGGAAAAATGTTTAAACTACAAAAAGTTTGCATGTCACTCGTCCAGGGACAAACAATCTGAAAGTGACTCATTGTTACATAAAGCTCTGACTGATTATACGCATACTTTGTAGGTCTTAGATCTTTACTTTTTCATTAAGTTAATCTCATGGCTCACTTTGTGATAACAATATCTATCTAGAGTGAAAGATAAATGACTGAAGTGCACCAAAGACAAGTGTCAGTTTATGAGTGGTTTTTTTTTTTTTTTTTAAGATTTATTTTATTTGAAAGGCAGAGTGGGAAGGAGGGAGGGAGGAAGGGAGAGATAGAAAGCAGAGAGAAAGAGAGAGGGAAGGAGGGAGGCAGGGAAAGAGAGAAATGGGGGGAGGGAGGGAGGGAGAGAGAGAGGAACAGAGAGAGATCTTCCATCCACTGGTTCACCCCTCAAATGGCTGCAATGGCTGGGGCTGGTCCAAGCTGAAGTCCAGAGCCCGTAGTTCAGTCTGGGTCTCCCATGGGAGTTGCAGGGGCCCAAATACTTGGGCCATCGCCTGCTATTTTCTCAGGTGCATCACGAGAGAGCTGGACTGGAAGCAGAGCAGCTGGGACTTCAACTGGCACTCTGATATGGGATGCCAGAATCCCAGGCAGCAGCCTAGCTCACGGCTCTACACGCTGGTCCCAAGTTATGAATATATCTACAACTTAAACTTATCTCCTTCTTACCTTCCACTTTTTAAAATTAATTAACTACTTTGTATATTTGAGACGCAGAAAAAATGAGATACACACACACACACACACACACACACAGGGAGCTAGTTCACTCTCCAAGTGCCTGCAATGGCCAGGGCTGGACAGGCCAATGCTGGAAGCTGAGAACTCAGTCTGGGTCTCCCACATGGGTGACAGGGCCTAAGTAACTCAGCCATCACCTGCTGTCTCTCTGAGTGCACATTAACAAGAATCTGGAGTAGACAGCAGACCCAGGACTTGAACCCAGGCATTCCCATAGCAGATGTGGGAATCTCAATTCACATCTTAACTGCTAGGCCAAACACCCACCCCTCATCTGAGTCTTAACTAAACCACTGATTTCCCACCAACCCAGTAAGGCCAAATGTTATTTAATGATATTACCGGAATGGGACTAGGGACAGCTGCCACAACGATACCAATAGGTTGAGGAGACAGGATTGCAGGATTTCCATTGGGAAGATTAGCCACGCCATTGGCTGTAGAGCCTTCTGATTTTTTTGCTGAGGATTCTCCTGGCAAAGGGGACTGTAATTTCTGTTCTTGCTGCTTCTTCTGGATTTTCCGTTGCAGTTGCTGTTTAGCATCAATAGGAGATGGCAAAGTCTTCACTTGAGGCTGAAAGGAATTACTTTCAGCTGTAGGTATAAATGCAGAAGGCTGGGGAATTCCTTTAATTCCTGCAAATAAACAGAAAGGAATGCTAAAGTAAGTACTCGCCTTTTATAGAAGGTAGTTAAAATTCAATTTCTTTGAATATGTGGCCATCTACTGGGCAGTGCAACCAAACCAGAAAATTATCATTTGTGATTTCTTTGATAAAAACAAGGATTAGACTTCCAATTTATAAACCTTTATCAATATGGTATTGACACTGTAAAATATGGTTTAACTCAGGTGAGTTTCAGTTACAGTAACACTAACAGATAATTCTGAAGAGAGTAAGCCACAACATGAATGTGCAAGAGCTAAGGTAAACACCAAGACAATATTTATCACATCAGTATTTTTTTGCCCTCTTCTCTAATCTGAAACTTAAGCATTTTCATGATTTCAATATTCAGTCCACAGAGGCATTTAATAAATATCTGCTGACACCACTCCACATCTTAGAAGAAAATTTATATGGGGAAATTGTTTTGGATCCTACTAGTAATTCATAAAAATAGGTACTACTATTTTAATTGCTGGTTGTTCCAGTATGACACAGAAGAAATTAAGAAGCAGAAATTCTTAAGGTCAACATCTTCTGAAAAAGTGCAATTAAGAAAACTAAAACAGTAGTGGGAATTTATTGTATTACTACATCAAGTTTTCTTTTGTCATAATAATAAATAAATAAAAACAAAGCCAGTGGGCAAAAAATGATAAAATGAGCAAGACATAAATTGGAAAAAATCTGATTGAGTAATAAAAATTTATCTTTTTCAAAAGTTCTTTTCACACTTAGGTTGCGGCACTGAGAGCATGCGAGAGCAAGCTGTGGTCAGCAAAGGCAGGAGAGAGAGGAGAGGGGAGGACAGCACAGTCCTGCTGGGAAGCCCTGCTCTTCCTTGCCCCTGCTGCTCTCCATCAGTCTAGTCCATAGCCACAACCTGGGGACGGGGCGGGCAGGGAGAGAACAAGAAGACTCCTAAGTCTCTCCCACACACTCTTTCCTTAATAATCCTTCACCTTTCTGACCCCTTTCGATCACTTAGGTACCACTTTTTCTTTGGAAATCCAGCCCAAATTGTACTCTTCCCTCTTAGCTGCCACCCCTGAGCTCAGCCTCTCAGCACCTGCACCCTGGAGAGCCTCCGCCCGCGGCTCACAGCGTGGCTGTCTTATCCCTCCTGCCAGGATTTCTAGACGGGAACGGGTTCCAAGCAGCTGACTTACAAAAGGACATTTGTAACACAACCTGTTCTTAATATGGACACTATATTTATAAAAAAATAAAATTCACCTTCAAAGGATGAAAATTAATCTACTACCAAGGATATTTTAAAAAATAATATTAATGGCTGAGAACAAAATTAAAGGAGTGATTAAAAAAATGCTTTGAGTCATCTTACAACTGGTAAAGCATTTAGCCTCCCAGGCTGGTTGCTTTAAAAACAGAGAAAAACACCTATTTACGTATGAGGGGTTTTACATAAGTTCATGAAAAATGCATATTACAAAAAAACTGCCTGGATTTCAAATTTTTTGCATCAAAGTAAACTCATCTTTTACTTCATTTTTCACAAATTTTTTGAAGTATCTGTTTATGTAATTTTTAATACTTTAAAAAACCCCACACTTTTTTTTACCCTTTAAAAATTGATTCATTATTCATTCAAGATTTCTTTCAGTGAGACTTGTGAACAATGTAGGAAATATTACAGAGAGAGTCTTGTTTTTTTTCCCCGTGATGCCTCCTCCTGGGTCTTCAACCTTGCATCCAAGAACTCTGCTCACTCTCAGTATGGGCAGAGGAAACAGAATGTCAAGGGTCCATGTCTTCTAATGCCTCATTTTGCCAGAAGGTAAGAAGACAGTAAGGTATAACTCAGTCAACCTGTGCTTTGCAGTAAACAGGGAAATCAGGATTCAAACCCTGGCTCTGGTACTTATTTTTTTAAAGATTTTATTTATTTATTTGAGGGGTAGAGTTATAGACAGTGAGAGGGAGAGACAGAGAGAAAGGTCTTCCTTCTGTTGGTTCACTCCCCAGATGGCCGCATCGGCTGGAGCTGTGGCGATCCGAAGCCAGGAGCCAGGTGCTTCCTCCCAGTCTCCCATGCGGGTGCAGGGGCCCAAGCACTTGGGCCATCTTCTACTGCTTTCCCAAGCCACAGCAGAGAGCTGGACTGGAAGAGGAGCAACCAGGACTAGAACCCAGCACCCACATGGGATGCCGGCACTGCAGACGGAGGATTAACCTACTGCGTCACGGCGCCGGCCCCTCTGGTACTTATTTACTCATGGAAAAGTTCCTTACCCTCCCTGTTTCTTGAGCTGCAAACTGGGGATAAGTATCACCTATCTTTTTGGCCTGCTGGGGGAATCAGATAAGTAACATATGTGAGTCACCTAGTTAGCTACTTCAGGCCAAGCATTTGCCTGCTTATTGGTAAGAAGAAATGAACAGATTTAGGTCACACAGCTTACATGTACCCAGGAAAAATTATGACTAGCTCTTGTGGAGACTGTGTTAAAATGGATTTTCTACTGACCATAAAATGAGAGAGGGTGGGTCACGTACACACAAAGAGATGCTTAAAGCTTCTGATAAACGTAAAGCTAAAGAAAACTAATATTAAAATGTACAAGTTACGATACTAAAAAAAAGAAGTGAATTAAGAGACTACAATTCTGGCTAGGATACATCTATTGTATATTTAAAAATATTTAATAAAAAGGCCTTGGAAAACAAGTTTCATGGTAGGATGTGTTCTTTCATAGAGATGTTAACTTTCTAGAGTTAGAAAGCAATTTCTTCACCCTTTAGGTTTATGAAGTATGACTAAAAAAGACATTAAAAATTTCATCAGAACTGACACACACAGCTATTCACTTGGGAGGGTACATTTATTCCATCAATATTATTTCATGTTAATATTCCTCCTTATTTTACAGTAATGTCTCAAAAGAAGTTTGTGAGACAAATTTATCTATCATGGTGCACAATGATCATTTTATTTATGAGCATTAGTTTCTGGAATAGGAGTCTAATGTAAATTTTATTTATTTGAGACACAGAGATCTACCTATATATCTATATCTACAACTAAATCTAATCAAGAAAATATTACCATTCACTGGCTAACTCCCCAAATCCTGGGAGCCGGGAACTCAACCCAAGTCTCTTAGGTGGGTGGCAGGGACCCAATTACTTGAACCATCACCTGCTGCCTCCCAGGGTGTGTATCAGCAGGAAGCTGGACTTGGCAGTGGAGCTCAGGACTTGAACTCAGGTGTTCTGAGATGAGATGTGGGCATCTCAACTGCTATGCCTGCACCTTCCCCGCTCCCCCTACCTGGCTTTAAATTTACTTTCATCTATTGGAGAGGTAGAGAAAGAGTAGCATTGAATTTCAAATTTAGCATGATCTTAATTCTAGTAGTTAATTTAGATACATATATGCTTTAAATTTAAAAAATAGTAATAGGAAAATTAATAAAACATCTGCTGGAAAATTCAAATCATTTAATTTCTATTTTTTTTAAAGTTCTGGTTTTTTAAATTTTTTATTTATTTGAAAGGTAGAGAGACACACCGACAGAGAAGCAGAGGGGGATGTTCCATCCACTGGTGCACTTCCCAAATGCCTGAAATAGCCAGGGCCAGGCCAGGTGGGAGCCAGGACCCTGGAACTCCATCTACGTGTCCCACGTGGGTGGCAGTGACCCAAGTACTTGAGCCATTATTGCTGCTCCCAGGGTGTGCATTAGTGGGAAGCTGGAACTGGAAGTGGAGGTAAACTTGAACCCAGGTACTCTGACATGGGATGAGGTAGTCCCAAGCAGTGTCTTAACTACTGTGCCAAAGGCCTACATCGAAATAGTTTTATATTCCAATGGACCAACCTATAAAAATATAATATTAGACTTTATAATCAAAGGATTATTTTTATTTTGTTGGTTCAAGAAACTCATTAAAATTTAGTGTGAAGGGGCCGGCGCTGTGGTGGAGCACGTAAAGCTGCTGCCTGCAGTGCCGGCATCCCATATGGGAGCCAGTTTGAGTCCTGGCTGCTTCTCTTTCGATCCAGCTCTCTGCCATGGCCTGGGAAAGCAGTAGAAGATGGTCCAAGTCCTTGGGCCCCTGAACCCATGTGGGAGACCCTGAAGAAGCTCTTGGCTCCTGGCTTCAGACTGGCATAGATCCGGCCATTGTGGCCAATTGGGGAGTGAACCAGCGGATGGAAGACCTCTTCCTCTCTCTGCCTCTCCTTCTCTCTGTGTAACTCTGACTTTCAAATAAATAAATCAATCTTAAAAAAAAATTTAGTGTGCAGTGGAGTAAGAGTGAACTTACAGAAATACTAAAAGGATGAAGCTCTTTGGTCAAATACTTCTTTTGTGACCAATGGTAAACAGAGTAATACCTCAGTTAGTTTTAGCATGTAAGCAATAATTTCATACCTGCTGGTGCTGCTGCCATCACAGTTAGAGCTGCCATTGACTTGGTGCCTATATAGTGACTTTTGACAAGGAAGCGGGCTAATTCCAAGACTGTGTCAAATGGCTGGCTTAACACTTTCTGGGCCCACTCACACACAAGGCGGCAAGCGGAAGACAGAACTTCCTCGTCAATGTTCTGAAGCTGCCCAGAAGGCTCAGCTCCTTCCAACTAGACAAGGAAAAAGACGAGTGAACTTCTAAAGACAATTCAGAGACATTAAATCGAAGCATATACCAGATACGCACTCTTAATTAGGAGATAAAATCTAAATCTGTTGTATGAAAGCACAATGAGGTAACCTGTTGGCAGACAACAACTCCTTTGCAAGTAAGAAACTCCTACCCTCCAGTATATAGCAATCAGCGCATTATGAAAAACTTTTAAAATGAGTATTAACCACAGATGAAGATCAATAGATGTTTTGAATCTAAAAGCCTTTTCTAATAGCAATAAAACAAACTATGCCAGTTATCACATTTTTTTCTTCTGAAAAATATATATGCTGTAGATATTCTCCTATGACTTTTTCCTTATACACCATGGACATATCTACAAATCAGTAATGCTAGGTCTTTGTTCTCCCAAATTTCATGTTAATGTGGTGACACATGCTAATACTTTTCAGGCACTGTGGGTTTTTTTTGCTCATTTACTTAGTAAAGGCACAGTTTCTTGCTCCTGGTTTTATCTAAATGATACTTTGCAGGATGAATTTCAATGCTGATATAAAGGTACTATTCTAGTTGTTAAAAGTAAAAGGTGTACTTCTTACCCCATCTCCAGTTTTGTGAAAGTCAAGGTTGGGCAGTGTTGGCATGTGAACAAAAGCTTTTTTTCTCAGTCCACTGTAGCAATATGTAATAAATAGTTAAGGTCAAAGTACTTGAAGTTAAATGAACTGATTATGTAGATAGCACCTGAGAAATAACCATATATGAAATGAGAATACAATCAGCATAACATCCACTTTCTGAATTCTTCAGTAAGAAAAACCTTAATATTAGGAGCTCTGGACACTTTCATTCTTTTTAAACTGGAACAGTCCTTGTGGAATGTTAAATATTACTGTCTTAAATGCAATGATTCTCATCTGTTATAAATTTTATGAATAAATGTTCCTAATATGCTGTGCCAGTAACAAACAGGTCAGAAGGAAAGGAATAGCCAGATGGAAACCTGGCACAGGGAAGGGAAACTTTAGCCCAGGGCACTGGGACAAAAACAACCCTTAAGAGTGTCACAAGGGTTTTAACCTTTTCGTTTCTCTTTTTCCACTGAAACACACAGGATTATCGCCTACAACATGCCAAAGACACATCACGACATTTCTGTTTGTATTCAGGAATCAAGGACACGTCATGCAACAACTGGGTAGAACACACCTGGAACCATTTTAGAAAAGCAGCCTCCCCCCTTCCCCCTTTCTCTCATCTCCTCCACAGTAGCCAATTTTATGCTTTGGAAAAGGCCAAGAGCTGAGCAGGGAGAAAGCAAATGTGCTTCTACTAACAGAGACCCTCTATTTCACAATTTCTTCCAAGAGTAGGAAGAACTTTAATTTTCACTTCTTTACTTTGTTTGCTCATTAAGCATTTCCTCATCACATGAAGGACATTTTCTGTGCCCTTGCTTTAATTTTAATACTCACTTTAAATAGCTGGCTGAAAAATACTTTAAGGTGAACATTAATCTTTCAATGCAAGCTTCATAAGAAACGTTTAGGAAATGCTTCTGAATGATGTATATATATATTTTTTTGGCCAAAATGATGCCCATGTTTCTAAATTAAAGGTAAGAGAACAGAATAAGCTAACATTTTTTCTCTACTTTGATACAATTTATAATTGGTGAAATTTTAGTATGATTTAATAATTCTTATTGTTAAAGCAATGGAGATCAGACCATTAATATTTCACAGTAACAGAACCAGGTAAGAATCTATCACAACCCTAATACAGAAATGAATCATTATTTGCTTTCTTTTGCAGTTTGATAAATAGCTGGGAAAATAATATCTGTAATCATTCTACTAAGTAACATTTGAGTTGTTTATATCTGTTGATCTAAATTTATTTCTAAATATAGCTGCCAGTTGAACTACAACAACAGATGGTTCTACAATAAGTGAGAACCCAAAGAGACTATTAAAACCATTTCGGTAAAGGATATTTAGATTTGCCTCTTGTGCCCAAACGACGTGCCTTCATGTTTGGAAAGACGTTTTTCATGATCTTTCCAAAGTCAGCAGCACTTAATGGATGGTAACCAAGATTGTCACAATAGCTCCTGAAAAAGAAGGAGGGAGCAATTTAGAGAGTCACAGAATTCAAAATTACATAGCAATGTGTTACTTCAACGTGATTTGATCCCTCTGACAAAGTAAAGCAGCAAATCTTAAGTCCTTCATCATAATTTATATAATTATCACTCTTTGGAGACATGCATTAACTTAAGTTTAGCTGGTTTCACCTTCAGAGTATACAGAATCGCTTTTAAGAAACTTGTAGTGGCCAGCGCCGCAGCTCACTAGGCTAATCCTCCACCTAGCGGCGCCGGAACACCGGGTTCTAGTCCCGGTCGAGCCGCCGGATTCTGTCCCGGTTGCCCCTCTTCCAGGCCAGCTCTCTGCTGTGGCCCGGGAGTGCAGTGGAGGATGGCCCAAGTGCTTGGGCCCTGCACCCCATGGGAGACCAGGAGAAGCACCTGGCTCCTGCCTTCGGATCAGTGCTGTGCGCCGGCCACAGCGCGCTGGCCGCGGCGGCCATTGGAGGGTGAACCAATGGCAAAAGGAAGACCTTTCTCTGTCTCTCTCTCTCTCACTATCCACTCTGCCTGTCAAAAAACAAAAACAAAAACAAAAACAAAAAAAAAGAAACTTGCAGTAAGATACAACGTTGGTACCAAGTTTTCAGCTACAATCCAACCTGTACTTTGAGCTGAATGGACCCATCCAGCTTGACTAGTAGGGTCTGTTTCCATGTATGTATCAGGCTCACATACTGAAATGATTTCCAATATAAACATCATGCATGTTGGCATTAGAGACAACACTACTAAGAGGACTGAAAATTCAGAAACATGGTATGTTAGAACTAAGACTTTGGGGCTCATCTATACCAACACACTCAAGTTTCACTAAAGATGGAAAAAACAAAGGCACAGAGAGAAGCTTTGAAGGCCCGATGCCCTCCCCGCTCACACCATTACACCTGTTCCTGCCAGGAAATGAGTTGCTTTGTAAGGCAGGTAACTTCATATGGGATCAGAGACATAAGTCAGACTTCGCTACTACTGAAATCAGGTGTTCTGTTTTCTCTAGAGCTGCCAGTCATGGGCAGAATGCCAATCCTCTACCAGTTAAGCAGCTGACCAAAACCACACCTTGCTTTGGCTGCCAAGGCATTTCTTAAATGTTAGGAGAACCACTACCCAGGAAATGCCAAACAAGAGGAAGTCAAAGGAATTCCATATTTCCCTACTTCACCTCCCATTCAGCATCAACGAGGGCAGCGTCTTGATAAAGAAATCATGTAGTAGAGAGCCTAACAGAGGGGCTTAGGACCCAGAAAGAAACAAAAATGAGTGGGAGGCATGGTGGGCGGGGTGAAATGGTACCAAAGACTTGGTTTCTCTTAGACTGCTGAATATCCTGGCAACATTCCTGAAGTGACCTGAGCTCAAGTAGTCAAACTGAGACAGAGTGAGGAGGAGTGGAGACTCCTGGGAGCCTTAATACAGAGAGAATGGGAATAGAGACAATGTCTTGGATGTCTCCTCCCTATCCCTACAACAAATCCTACATATCCCTGGGGTTTGCGGTGGGAGGAGTTGTCAGCAAACATTCAACAACACTAGAGCGTGGGGAGAAGGAAAGTGAAATAAACATGCATTGAAAATTTCCTATATGGGATGTGTAAGCAGCCTTGTATTTAAATGGAGATTAAATGCAATACTTTGATTGGTTCAGTCATCGACGGAAGGTATAAAGGTTAAGGGTGGACTATTTTTTGGTGCTAACAATGGAAATAAACTGCAATAAATATATAATTTCAGTAGCAAGCAAAACTAGTCATCTTTATGGTTTATTCCAGTAAATAAACAAAAGTGAATGAAATTAGACTTATTGGCACCTTACAACTTGACACATGTTGTTTTCTCTACTTGGAACATTACTTAGCCTTCAAGGCTCAGCTTAAATTATGACTTTGAAAGGGTCTCTACCCTATCTAAAGCAGTGCCTTCTTGTCACCCTCTCTCTATTTTCTACCAGTGTACTCTGTCCTCTTTCTCTCCTGATTCATAATTATGTAATAATTTACTTTTTTGTATCTTCCATTTCACTGTAAGTTGAATTGGGTCATGGCCTTAGCTATCTGGTTCACCACTATATTGTCAGCATCAGGAAAAAGGCTTAAGAGTCACATTAAGCCCACTTATATGCCATATTTAAAACAAGCTTTAAAGAAACACATCAAAAGACCAACAAAAAGCAAAAAAAGAAACATTATCTGCTGCCTCCTGTAACAGCATTGGCACTTGTGCTTAAAAAATTGAACTCAAATGAGAAGGAGGGCATTTGCCCTCCATGATTTAGATTCTTATGTTGTTTTCAATGTATTATTACACTAACATTTTCTTAGGGGTGGGAGGAAGATTTGCCATGAAAATTAATAACAACATTAAGCAGCAATATGAACAACACAAGATCTGATTTCAAATAGTTTATCTTGAATGATGACTACCCAAAATGATCATCCAATTCTGTCTGGCTTTTGATTTATACTTATTCTAGCCTTTGAAAGATGAAGATTTTTCTACAACATCACCTTCAGAATACTCTTTAGTGGGTAAATATTAAAAGTATTTGTGGACATAGAAGTAGCTCAAATTATTCCTCCTAAATGGTAGGCAATGTTGGAAGAAGAGAAGGCTGCTTATGATTCAACATTTAATACTTCGGCACCTCACACGTCAAAAATACAGAAAGCTAGGCCGGTGCCGCGGCTCACTAGGCTAATCCTCCACCTTGCGGCGCCGGCACACCAGGTTCTAGTCCCGGTCGGGGTGCCGGATTCTGTCCCGGTTGCCCCTCTTCCAGGCCAGCTCTCTGCTGTGGCCAGGGAGTGCAGTGGAGGATGGCCCAAGTGCTTGGGCCCTGCACCCCATGGGAGACCAGGAGAAGCACCTGGCTCCTGGCTCCTGCCATCGGATCAGCGCAGTGCGCTGGCCGCAGCGCGCCGGCCACGGCGGCCATTGGGGGCTGAACCAACGGCAAAGGAAGACCTTTCTCTCTGTCTCTCTCTCTCACTGTCCACTCTGCCTGTCAAAAAAATTAAAAAAATAAAAATAAAAAAATAAAAAAAATACAGAAAGCTTCCATTTAAACAATACCAATACCCAGAGTCAGTCCTTAGTTTCTTGAATTTTGTGAAATCTTAATAATGGAAATAACTTTAGAAGTTGTGCAGTTGGATTTCCCACCAGATGTAGCAACGGTAATATTCCTGCATGAGAGGCTACCACAAAGTGGTCAATTTCCTTGATGGGAAAAGCCCTTCATTGTGAGGTGGCTGATCCAATTTTTAGCAGTTCTTATTTTCAAAGAATTCTATTATTAGTGCCCTTTCCAAACAGAGAAGATCTAGGTAGGCCATGATTCTAAGTACTTATGGGGCATTCACTCAAAATTTTGAAACTGGTGCAATACAACAGATCTTTGCAAAGTTCATGGAGGGGCTAGGGTGGTGTAGTGGGTAAGTTAAGTTGTTGCCTGCCATGCTGGCAACCCATATAGGTGCCAGTTGGGAGTCCCAGCTGCTGCACTTCTGATCCAGCTCCCTACTAATGTGCCTGGGAAAGCAGCGCAAGATGGCCAAGTCCCTGTGCCCCTGCATTCACAAGGGAGACCCACATGAAGTTCCTGGCTGCTGACTGCCGGCTTCGGCCTGGCTCAGCTCTGGCTGTTGTGGCCATTTGGGGAGTGAAACAGTGGATGAAGGTATCTCTCTCTCTCTCCATCCCCCCATAACTCTGCCTTTCGAGTAAAAAAAAGTTCATGGAAAATGGGAAATGGTTGTATGAAAACAAGTATGCATGAATTTCAAACATTTTTTTGCACCAAAAATAAACTTATCCTTTAAACTCCATTTTCCCACAAACTTTGTAAAATATCTGTGTATAACCAATCATAGGACATTCCAGTCCAAGTGGAAATCTTGGTTGGTTTACATCTCATTTTCCTGCCTCATAACATTAACTGCAGGTTGATCAAGTAAGATATGGTATCAGTTAACACTTAACTCAGTGTCAGATTATATTTAGGTGAGATTCAGAAGAGAGTGAAGAACAGAGACTGTTCACAGGTTAACACTCTAATGTCATTTTTAAAATGAGATTTGTTTTCCCCTCTTGCACTTTATTTAAAACATGTTTTTATTTTTCTGTTTAAAGAATTTTTATTTATTTGAAAGGCAGAGTTACAGGGAGGGAGGAAGAATGGGGGGGGGGAGAGGGAGAGAGTCTTCTATCCTCTGGTTCACTCCCTAGATGGCTGCAATGGCCACAGCTTGGCCAATTCGAAGCTAGGAGCCAGGAGCTTATTCTGGATCTCCCACATGGGTGCAGGGGCCCAAGGACTTGGGCCATCTTCTACTGCTTTCCCAGGCCATACCAGAGAGCTGGATCGGAAGTGGAGCAGTGGGCTGGTGCTGTGGCATAGCGGGTAAAGCTGCTGCCTGCAGTGCCAGCATCCCATTTGGGTGCCGGTTTGAGACCTGGCTGCTCCACTTCCAATCCAACTCTCTGCTACAGCCTGGGGAGTGAGCCAGCAGATGGAAGACCAGTCTCTCCCTCTCACTGTCCATAACTCTACCTCTCAAATAAATAAGTAAATTTTTTTTTTTAAAGAGAGTAATCAGATGCTGACACTCTGGAGAGAAAGCACTTCGCAAGTTTCTGAACTTAACCATAAAGAAATTTGTCTTTTTTATATTGTTCCCTGATAGCAGACAGTGACTGCTAATGGATATGGGATTTTGAGGAGGTAATGTAAATATTCTGGAGTAGGCAGTGACTGGTGCAGTTTTGTAAATATATTAAAAAATACACAACTCTAAAATTGTAAATTTTATAACATGTGACATATCTCATGACTAAAAGAAACACAACAGAATATTATGGTTTTGACTGTTAATAACTGTATTAACCTATGAGATGTAGTAAATGGTTATTCTTCCTGCTGCATGGATCTGGATCTCAGGTTTCAAGACTGGGGACAAGAAGTGACT